AGTGGAAGCTACGTCCAGAAACCCACCTTCACAAGACCTAGAGAATCATCTCACGACTCCAGAAAGGATACATGATCGCATCGGGATCACTCGCCTGCTCGAAGCTCATCATACAGATCATACCATGGAGACTCAAGTCGTCGTGGATCCATAGAGCGAGAGATGTCTAAATCAGAGGAAGAAGGTGAAGGCATGTTCTCCGATACGGAAGTTAACTCCTGGATCACCAATGGCTTGGATTTAGCATCACCTTCTAAGGACACAGATAAGGCGTTTACCTATAAGATGTCCAACGATGATTTAGAAACGCTCACCTTTCCACCGATCGACCCGATCTCTCAAGTACCAGACAACCTCAGTGCAACTTTTGATAAAGCCACCAAGTCTCAGAATCAGCACATCCCGACGTTCAACGCCAGGAAATTCCCTCTACATAGGATGGAACCCTTCCTGAAGGCTCCAGAGGTTGATGATGACTACAAGATTATCACCGACTCCCGTCAGAGAACTTACAAGATTGAGGATAAGAAGTTAGCACAGCTGGATACAACCACCAGACAAACCTTCTTCGAATTAGCCAGATCCAGGGCTATCAACGAAACATTCATCTTGAGTTCAAGAACCCCTCCGCCGAAGAGGACCGGATGATATACTCCGCTCTACGAATGCAGAAGAGAGACCATCAGTTTATGTCAGAGCATCTAGCATCCACATCAGCGGGCCTGACTCTCCTGAGAAGACGAGGGTTATTGTCAGCATGCACTTGGAGTGAACGCTTCACCAAGTCCTTATACAGAGCCCCATGGTCAGCATCTTGCATCTTTGGAGGAGGAATTGAAGAAGTCGCCAGAGAAGTCTCTCACGACTCAAGGGAGGTTATGATGATTAAATCAGTCGACACCTTGGCTAATGTGATTCGTCAGACGTCCCAACGTTACTCCAACAAATCCAAGTTTGCAGGAGTTCAGAGGGCCAGAGAAAAGAAGTATTCCAGCATGAAAAGAGGAAGACGCTCCTTTTGCCACCCAACCGGCGCTCCTATAGGTAACCCCGGAAGAGGCCGAGAACCTAGGGGTGCAAGAGGAATCAAGCACTGAGGGCCAGGTTCGGAACGACTGGAGTCTTTCACCCCAGCCGTTCCTGTACAACCTTCGACAGTGGGTGGACGTCTAAAACGATACTGGGAAAATTGGGGAATCCTACAAGATGACTACGTGTCCCAGATACTATGCAGAGGGTACAAGATACAGTTGGAAGCGACCCCCACCGCTCACAAGCAATCTGATGGCCTTCAACTATGCAGCCGACCAGATAGAGAAACTGGACGACGCTATCAAGACACTACTCGACAAAGAGGCAGTAGAAGAGATAGATCAAGATCGCATCACGCCCAGATTCTACTCCCAAATTTTCCTGGTACCGAAGAAGAATTCTAATGAGAAATGGAAGTTCAACTGGGAGTATCTATGCAGACCAGCAAAATTCAAGATGATACATCTTCCTCAGCTCCGACATCCCGTTCGTCCAGCAGACTACCTCGCCAGCATAGATACACATCCCGATACATCCAGACTCAAGGAAATACCTAAGATTCCTTTTCAACTGACACCACTTCCAGTGGAAGGTTTTACCGTTTGGAATATCATTGGCCCCCTGGTTGTTTACTCAAGTGACCAAGCCCATCGTCACATATCTACATCGTCGAGGTCTATGCAGTGCTTTCTACCTGGACGACGGGATTCAAGCTCATCAAGATCCCAGTCAACTCAAACTGCAACTAGACTTCACCATCAGGCTGCTCACTCAGCTAGGATGGCTAGTAAATCTCCTCAAGATGGAACTGGAGCTGAAACAAGACCTGCAATGTCTAGGAATTCGACTCGTCACACCAGTGAATCACATAGTATTGCAGAGGATCGTTGGGTCAAGATACAACAGATAATATCTCAAGCAATGCTCCATCCGTTGACACTACGTGCTTGGCAAAGCATGCTCGGTCTACTCACCTCTGCTCAAAACATGACTTGCAGAGGGAGACTACAGTTGTGCCCACTACAAGTATTTGTGAACGCCCACCTGGACAGCCTAGATTCGTTAATACTACCAGACAGCCTGAAACCCTATCTCCTATGGTGGACTTAGAAGTCGAATGTTTGGGGAGGAACCTTTTTGACAGAGCCGGTTTGCAACACTCATCTCTACGTGGATGCCTCCCTACAAGGATGGGGTGTGCACTTCAACAGCGAAGTGGCAGCAGGGAAGTGGTTGAGTCAGGATCAGAAGTCACACATCAATCTGTTGGAGATGAAAGCAGCAATCAACGTTTTACAACTATGGTCCAGCGTAATAAAGAACACACGACTCATGGTACACACGACTCATGGTACACACGGACAACTCCACAGTGGCGTTTTACATCAACAAGTCTGCTACATCTCAGCTTTTTCATGTTCAGCATAGTCGACTTCCTGAACATCTACATGAAGGCATGCCACATTCCGGGAGCAAAGAATGTCATAGCAGACGCCCTATCTCGTCAACTACAACCATCCCCGACGGAATGGATGTTGCATCCAGAAGCATTCCAGACTATAGGATCCCCACTAATAGATCTGTTTGCAACAAAGTTCAACAAACAGCTACCAATATTTGTCGCACCGATTCCAGATCCCCAGGCATGGGCAACAGACGCTGTAAGCATCTCATGGGAAGGACTAAACACTTACGCGTTTCCACCTCCTGCACTGCTACCACAAGTACTACAGAAAATCAAGCAGACAACTACGTTTCAACTGATTTTGGGCGCGCCCTATTGGTCAGCGAGGTTTCCCATCTCATACAAGAACTCGGAAGTCCAACCCTGAAACTACCAGAGTGTTCCAACCTACACACACCAAGCAAGCTCACAGGAACCTGACACTGTTCCAGCTACACGCGTGGAGCGTATTAAAGCTTGCCTGAAGACCAGAGGGTACTCCGCCAGAGCAGCGAAAGCACTAGCTCTGCGCAGATCAACTCACAACTTGTACAACGAGTGGCAGAGATTTGAACAGTATGCAAAGAGGAAAGGCTTTACAGCGGTGAAAGCAACACATCCTCAAGTGTCGGAGTACTTATGTCATGTACGACAGACGAGTCACAACAAGGTTCAACACTCTCAACTTACTTGGCTGCCCTCAGTACAGTTATCACCGTGAAAACAGGTATCAAGCTGACCAAAGTTCCAGAGATTCTGGCACTACTACGGTCGTTCAAGTTGGAAGACCAGCAAAACAAATTAAGGCATGTGCCTGGGATCTCAACATAGTTCTACAACATCTCACCAGTGATGCCTACGTGCCTCAAGAATTGATATCCTTTAAACTACTAACTCAGAAAACGCTGTTCCTGATCGCCCTAGCAACAGCTGCACGGATGTCAGAAAATACATGCTCTGGACTTTGAACGAACACAATTTGAATCAAGACATCGTGACATCGTACATCTTGGACTGAGATGGGATTTTATCGCCAAGAACCAACTGCCCAATCAGCCTGACAGACAGTTCCACATCCCAGCACTATCTACAGTCCTTGGGCCACAGGATACGCAGGATCTATCCTTTTGCCCAGTCAGAGCACTTAAAGTCTACCTACAGAGAACTAAAACAAGGAGATGAAAATTCAAGCGCCTATTCACCCCCCTTATCCACTCAGACGCCCACGGAAGTCTCGCGGACAACGATATCGATCTGGATGAAAGCCGTTATACTCAGGGCTTATAAAGCAGCAGGATTTGAGCCTCCACGAGCCTCCAACGCACACGAAGTCAGAGCCCTGGCGGCAACACTTACTCTGCATGGAAACTGCTCGATTACAACTATAATGGAGGGCTGCTTTTGGAGATCAAACACAGTGTTTGCCAACCACTACCTAGGAACATTGTCACCGAAGACGTCTCAGGCATTCACCAGTTTGGGCCACTTGTTGTAGCACAACAACTAACGGTTCCACAAAGGCGCTGAATAAATCCCACCACTTTTATCACGTGACTTGTGAAAACCAACGCTCTGGAGAGCAATGGCTATAAGTCCATGCACACGTCTAGGACAGACTAGCATGAGTGATAGACCCTGTACTTGTATAGGACATACTCGTACATGAAGAAGGGTTGCATCTCCACTTGATGCGCGCATCAAGAGATGGAGTTGCAATAGATAACTAATGGAATATTAGTATATCTAAAATCCACACGAAAATGTCAGAAGTTTCGGAAGAAATCTGACAAGTTGTGGTTCCCCCCAGACTCATCAGAGAGAAGTTGAAAGAACAGAATCTTCATCAGTGCTGTCATAAGTTCCCATGGGGGGTAATACAGGACGTAAATCAACAACTAGTGAATCCAGAACGTGGCCTGACCCACCACCGTTTCCAACTGATTCTGCAAGCATAATTAGCATGAGTCAGGATAAGGAAAAATATGTAATTTTCTGACTAAAATTGATATTTTATACTTATCCTGACTCATGAGGTTAGCCCTCCCAACCTCCTCTCATATGGCACTCTGGATTTCCCTGTAAATCCGGATGTCGGGCATATATAGGGAGAGAGTGACAAACATGGCTGGTCATGTGACCAAAAAGGGAGGAAAGGGAGACTACTCGAGGGTGAGTGATTTTACGTCCGCTTTTTTAGAAGGGAACTTCAAGGGATTTCAAGTGTTCCACTATCATTCGCAAGAAGGAGACAAGCATAAGTAGCATGAGTCAGGATAAGTATAAAATATCAATTTTAGTCAGAAAATTACATTTTTGACAGCAATACTGCTGCAGTGCAGTCATGATCGTCTTACAATCCTGACAAGGGCACCAAATACAAGCCTTTAAAATGTAACTGTACACCAGTGTTGCAAATGTTCACTGAGACATACTGTCAGAAAGAATTGTGACTTACTCAAACTACTGTTAAGTTAATCTTTATAAAGAGATGTTTTGAAATTACAACATAACTTTAATTTTGCAGGTCCGAGATGTACGTCTTATTACAGACAACAAGACTCGGCGGTCAAAGGGCATTGCGTATGTGGAGTTTGCAGAAACTGATTCAGTGCCTCTCGCAATGGGTCTTAACAATCAAAAGCTTCTGGGTGTTCCAATCATTGTACAGAGTTCTCAGGCAGAGAAGAACCGGACTGCCAGCAGCACTAGCTTATTACAGAAGGGTACATCAGGTCCCATGAGGCTCTATGTTGGCTCTCTTCATTTCAACATTACTGAAGATATGTTGAGGGGCATCTTTGCTCCATTTGGTGAGGTAAAATGTCTTTCTTCATCAACTGTTCAATACTTTGTCTAATGAATACTTCGGGCATGAAAAATAAATGTTGCATTAGTTCTTTAATTAGTGTAAGACATTAAATCTGACATTCACCTCCCTCATTCCCCTCCTCTCTCTCTCTTCTCTCACTTTCCTTTTCCCCTTTCCCCTCTCCCTTTCCTCTTTCTCTCCTCTTTCTCTCTCCTCTCTCTCTCTCTCTCTCTCTCTCTCTCTCTCTCTCTCTCTTCCCCCCCCAAAGCCTAATGATATGTACCTTTAAATTGCATTTCTAAAATTTGAACATTGATTATCTTTCCTTCAGATTGATGACATCAAATTAATTCGGGATCATGAAACTGGACGTTCGCAAGGTTATGGTTTCATGTCGGTAGGTAACTTTGCTTCATGTTCCATCATATGTATTTGTATTGTGGGTTCACTTTGTTACATGACTCCATTTGAGCATTTTTGTTCACATTGTCTAAGTTGATAAATGGCAAAACCTAACTCTGTTGAATTACTAGACAATGTGTCAGTAAAAGGACCACTAATCCATGATAAATGTTACATTAAGAAAATGATTTTAAGAAAACATTTATTGTTAAACATAACACTTCAAATGTAGATATGACTTCATGAGAATTAAGATTGGATGGTCTGAATTTGGTTGGCACATGTAATCGTATCCCAGTTATGTAGATCGATGCTCATGATGTTGATCACTGGATTGTCTGGTCAGGACTCAATTACTTACAGACCGCTGCCACATAGCTGGAATTTGCTGAGCGCGGCATTAAACAACTAAAACCAAATCAAAATGAGATAGACTGTCATTGAACGATTGGTTTGGAATGATTGGATGGTAACATCATTGAATGAATGTCTTAAGGCTGTCCACTTCTAATGGTGATCAATGGCATTTCAGTTTACTGATGCAGAAGATGCAAAGAAGGCACTTGAACAGTTGAATGGGTTTGAGCTTGCTGGTCGACCAATGAAAGTAGGCCATGTTACAGAAAGAACAGCAGAGAGTCAGGGAGCATCGATACTTGACAGCGATGAGATGGATCGGGCTGGTATTGACCTCGGGGCCACAGGCAGACTCCAACTTATGGCCAAGCTTGCTGAGGGTATGTGTAATCAGGACTGTTTGTTTATGTTGTCAGGTTTAAAATTTGAACATTTTCAGGGTTACTGGGCATGTTAGGGCCCAGTGAATTTGAATGTGGTCAGAGCCCACTGAAATAATTAAGTGACATGATTAATTGCTTCTCAGCCTATCAACCATTGGTATATCATACTAATACTACATGGTTTATATAAAGGCTTTCTAAATGCAGAGAAAAACAATTCTCCCTACACAAACACTTACTGTTCCTGACGGTATAGGTTAGGGTTTTCAGCAACACCATGCTTGTCATAAGAGACAATCGGGTGGTCATGTGTGCTGACTAGTTGTATGATATCTTATCCAAATTGCATAGATCAGTGCAAATGTCAATCACTGGATTATCTGGACTTGATTGTTTGCAGATCACCTTCATGTAGCTGAACTTTTGGGAAGTGCAGCATTAAACTAAATACAAACATTGTAATTGTCTTAAAATTCATTAGAAATAGATGCATAAATAATATAGGTAAAAACTAATAGTTTGAAATATTACATTTTGTTCTGTCATCCCAGGTACCGGTCTTCCAGATCCCTCAGTATGCAGCTAATGCACTCAATCAAGCTGGCACTGCACCAGGTGCAACCCTGACTGCAGCTGTGGCCAATGCCACAGGCTCGGCAGCACCAACAACACCAGCTCCAGCAGCAGGGAGTGGGGCCCCTCCTATAGCAACACAGTGCTTCATGCTTTCCAACATGTTTGATCCTAACACGTAAGTAGAATTGAAGTTCATTATTAGACTTCACCCTTCACAAGTTTACCTACTTTTCAATTATCAGTCTCCGTTGATATTTTTTACCCCCCCGCAACAATGAAGTTGCGATGGATATAGAAACGAGTTCTGTGCGTCCGTCCGTGACACTTTGTCCGAGGCATATCTCCTAATCTATAGGTTATAGCTTAACCAAACTTGGTAAACATATCAAGCATGATCCCTAGATGTGCCTTTCGGGGGTTCGACCCAGATATGAATTTTATTATTTTTCCTTATCGAATCGTAGTGGAACACATGAATCCCTTAAAGTTCCTGAAGCGGACGTATAAATACACTCACCCACGAGTTACCTCCCTTTGCCCTTTCCCGTGCAAACCAGTCATGTGACGTGCCTTACTTGTCACTCTCTGCCTTTTCGCCCAAGCGGATGGTTGGGCGAGCACTGGAGTCCCGTATACGGCATCACATACTTTATATTTAGACCTATTTTCTTCAAAGTTATGCTGTATATGGATTTGGCTATAACTACTATGTAGTATTTGTAATATTTTGTAATTTTTTTTATTGACTTTGAGTCGTAAATTCATCGTCATGTAACGTTTACATTTCTTGAAGTCGTACATTGTTTGCAGGCACAGGTTATCCGTGGCGGATCCTCACCCCCAATGTTCTTCGTGAATAAATCCATGTTCCTCCAGTTTGCGCGCTGTAGTTATTGTATTGATTTATCAAATCTTCAATTAATCAATATTTGTCTTATATCTATAGACGTGCATGGATCGGGTGAGAAAGTCACGATTGATAAAAACTGCAGATCAGCCTTCAAACCGTATATTGCATACAGGGGCAGTCTGCTGGTAAGGGGGTCAGGAAAAGATTGTCTACATCTCAGTCGACTCCGTCTGAGACTAAGAAAGAGACGTCATCCTCTTCTACAACGTAGAAGAAGTCAACTGTTACCAGACGGAGGGCAAATCTACGTGTGCTAGTTCATCTACGCACCAGGAATCCTTCAACGAAGAGATTGTACCTCCTCACGTACTAGACGTTTTTGACGGACCCCCTTTACTTCTACCTGAAGTATCTATGAGATCTACGACTCTGTCGACCTCTACTACTACGAGATCGTCCTCTACTACAGTCACAGCAGGAAGGTGTTGACGTACTACCTCTTACTTCTCGGAGTGAAGTTGAGGCACATAACTCATCAGCGTTCGCGAACGCTTCATCTACACCGTAGCAGCGTCAACCTATGCAGAACTTCGATGATGTCCATGATGGAACGTAGATTCCAGAAGTAATTGAAGGCTAAGAAAAGCCTCTCATCTACCGAAACCATGCGCAAACCTAAGGCTAGGTGCGAACCCACGGGCCTGCGCGAATCTACTCCTCTTGGATCTACACCTCAAGGCTACGTTGGAAGACGTACACCTTTATGAAGGTCTCCACAGTGGGACGACTCTGTCATCTTGGAGGATGATAGAGATGACTTATACTCTATCTACGTCTGCGAACCCTCAATGTTCGAGAACATTGAAGGATCCTGCTCCTACACCTAGCCTCTCTAGATCGAGATCTCATATTTCACACAGACGTTCGCAAAGCTACTCACCTCAAGCCAGAGGTTCGCAAAACGTTTGCAAAGAGATAGCTCACCTCACAAGGTTCGCGAAGTGATGTATCCACAGATAGAGGTTCACGGACAGAACACTCTCAAGATAGACGTTCGCATAGGGAGGAATCTTCAGATAGAGGTTCGCGAAACGAGGATGAAGGTTCGAGAAGGGAAACAGGTTTGCAGATGGATGAACTGTGAGACCTAGCTCTAATAATCAGGAGACTTCGGTCTTGCAAACGGACCTCGTCTTCCCAGACTCATAAGTTACAGCATGGATTGCTAACGCACAGCTTTGAGAAAGCTACAGACGTCTACAAGGTTCGAGAACTCTCAGATCTACAGGCAGATAACAGCAATGTAGACATCTACAGGGTTCGCAAACCCTTACATCAACAGGCAGGATGTTGACGTCAACTATTATCATAAGGCTGAATATAACGAAGCAATGATGGAGACGGATGCTGAGGTCTTATACCGGGTAGCAGATGGCCTGCGGATATTGTTGCTCACTCACTCCAACCCAACAGAGACTTACTGCATATACGCTGATGACTTCGACTCCAATATGATATCACTTATGAAGCCGATATCTCAAGTAGTGGAGAACCTTAAAACCTTTGGAAAGGGCTTAAGGTTAACATCGCCTTCAAGTATACTTGAACGGACGTACAGATGATCGTATTAACCCTCGTCACTCAGCGTGGGGATTAGGAATTATATCCTATCAACTAGATCCCCACAGACATACGTCTCAACAGCCTCCTTCGTCATGCTCGGAATAAGTGATTCATATCACGAAACAAGATTTACACTTTGAGCAACCCTTTGTCAGGAGGCTTATATGTGCGGCGTAGGGTTACGCGCGCTTTTACTCACAGATTTTATGGAGGCCAACTGGCTACAACACTGGTCACGTCATGCTTGAAGCTGATTGGTCCACGTCAGACAACGCCTCCCACTGACAGAGCAGGCTCCAGCATGTTTTCTCATTGTAAACAAACCCGTGGTATGGGGAATATTTCATCAGCAGCCTTGGAAACAGTATACAACTACGGCCTGTTATCATCATGGAAATCTAATAGATGTCTAGCCTTGACAGCAGGATAAACGATGTTTAGTTTGGAAGTTGTCGCTGATAGAAGTCGGTATGAGTACCTGTCCCCTGCGATGCTACACGGGAGCCAGCCTTGCTATAAATAGACAACGCTTAGATGTCAACACAGATCGCCTGCGTATATAAGGGGAAGAATGATGTATCATCACTGCAATCAGAGGTTAGCACTTCCAATGGAACGTCCTATCGTTTGGAATATCGTAGGCTCTATGATTATTCATACAAATAACAAAGCCTATCGGCATCTATTTACAACATCGAAATCTACGCAGTGCCGGTTATCCGGAGGACGGCATACAAGTTCTTCAAAGTGCCAATCAACTCAGAGAGCAGATGAACTTCTCACTTAAGTTGCTCACGCAACTAGGATGGCTTGTGAACCTGATGGAAATTGGAGTTAGAATCAATCAAGATCTTCAATTGCTGGGAATAAGAATTATCACAATACAGGATTGAATTGTGATCCAAGAAGATCATTGGGTCAAGATACAAGCCATGATTCAACAAGCAGTCATCTCTCCGAACATGGCAATGTCTACTCGGTCTACTAACCTCGGCGCAGGACTTGACTCGCACAGGAAGATTACAACTAAGGCCGCTGCAACGGTTCCTGACAAAACATCTGGACAGTGTCGACCCTATCTTGCTGCCGGAAAACCTCAGGAGATATCTACTGTGGTGGACACACAGGTCGAATGTTTGCGAAGGGACCTATTTACACGAGCCGGCCTTCGAGTGTTCCAAAATAGAACAGAAACTGCACATCTATCTGCTAGAGATGAAAGCAGTGATCAACGCCTTACAACTATGGTCGAGCTTGCTGAACAACAAAATGTTGATGATACACTGGGACAACTCTACAGTAGCGTTCTCCATAAACCGGGCAAGGAACCACAAGGTCTTCAAGCCTATTGCAGCTCACATTCCAGTTGTTCCAGATAACACAGGAAGCAAACGTCTGGATAAAGGCGTGTCACATACCAAGAGCCAAGAACGTGCTTGCAGACGCTCTCTCCCGACCACTGCACCCGTCACCTGCGGAATGGATGCTCCATCCAGAAGCATTTAGGCTCATCATAAGGGAAATAGGATCCCCTTGCATAGACCTGTTTGCCATGAGGTTCATCATACAACTACGGACGTTTGTCTCACCAGTTCCAGATCCTCAGGCCTGGGCAACAGATGCACTGAGCATATCCTGGGAAGGACTAAACGCTTACGCATTGAAGATTTAACAGACGCAGACGCTACAACTGGCTTTGGTCGCGCCATATCAGAGATACATGCGCTGGACTTTGGTAGAACTAGATTCGACACGGGGCAACATGCTGCACTTCATCTAGGACTTAGATGGGACTTCATTGCCAAGAACCAACTACCTGGTCAGGCAGATAGACAGTTCCACGTACCAGCGCTATCTACAATCCTCGGACCAGAGGATATAGAGGACCTATCCTTGTGTCTGGTCAGAGCCCTGAAGAGATGTCTTCAAAAGACTAAGACAAGGAGACAGAAATTCAAGCGCCTATTCATCACATTATCCACAGAAACCAGCAGAAGTCTCAAGAACGACGATATCGTTCTGGATGAGAGCCGTCATATTGAGAGCCTATAAAGCAGCAGGACTAGAACCTCCAAGAGCTTCCAACCCACACAAAGTCAGAACATTGGCGTCAACACTAGCTCTGCATGGAAATTGCTCTATATCAACAATTATGGAGGGCTGCTTTTGGAAGTCGGACACAGTGTTTGCCAACCACTACCTCCGAGAGAAAGCCACTGAAGACGTCTCAGGCATTCACCAATTTGGGCCTCTCGTTGTAGCACAGCTACTAACGGCTCCACAAAGGCACTGAGTTGGAAAATCTCACCCTTTATCACGTTGACTTGTTGATAAGTTTTACTAAGGAAAAGTATTAAATTGAAAGTCCATGCGCACAGTCTAGGACAGGCTAGCATGAGTGATTAAAGATCCTGTACGGGTAAGATCTTACCTGTAAGTGAAGGGGTCGCAACTCATTTATGATAAAGATCTTATCATAATCTATGGATTGTTATGAGATATCTAGTAATAAGAAGATACTAGTTTATCTGAAGCCACATGAATCAAGATGATTCAACTTGTCTGAGATGGAAGTAAGACAAGAAGTGGTCCCCCCGAGTTATAACGGAAGTTGGAAGAATAGGATCTCGGAAATGCCGCTACGCAGTTCCCATTGGGGGGTATACAGGACGTATCTATGGACAGCTGATGAATCCAGGAAGTGGCCTGACCCATCACCAATCCGTCGGATTCTATAAGCAAAAGATCATGAGTCAGGATAAGAAAAAATATGTAATTTTTCAAGTAAAATTGTTTTTTTTATACTTATCCTGACTCGTGAGGTCAAGCCCTCCCGACCTCCCCGCTGGAAACACTTCGGATTGCACAGCAGATCCAAGTGCTCGGGCAGAAATATCAGGAGAGAGTGACAAGTAAGGCTGACTGTTTACGCGGGAATAGGGAGGTAACTCGTGGGTGAGTGTATTTTTACGTCCGCTTCGGGAACTTCAATGGATTCAAGTGTTCCACTACCATTCGAAAAGGAAAGGGAGATAAGCAAACGATCCTGAGTCAGGATAAGTATAAAAATATCAATATTACTTGAAAAATTACATTTTTGTGGTTTCCATGGAAACATGACTTAGGCTGTGACTATGAGGATGTCATCTTGTTTCCATGGCAACAAGTTAGGCTTAAACTGAATTTGGTGGTCGTTCTCCTTTTTGGAGCAGATCTTAAAAAACCTTTCAATACTCTCCTTCCACTTTGCTGTATACACTCCAAAACATTTGACATAATCATAACTAGAAGACATATCCATAAAGAGTATTTTGCCGTTGCAGGGGATACTGATGACTTTGTCTTCTTGTTAAAACTGTTTCTGAGTACAAATGATGAAAGTGAATTTTTCTTGCTTAGTTCTTTTGTATCTTTAAATCTCTGAAAGTAATCTTTACATGTGAACTCTTTAGGTTAAACTTGCTTGGTCCTGAAGTATGAAGTGACTGGCTCAAGGCCAGTATGTCCATATCAGGGTTTTCTGGACTCTACAAACCTGACTTCAGTATTTGCATGGGGGAAACAGGTTTAATGGAGAATGGTTCATGAGAAACAATGTTTTATGAGACTGCAAGGTCATGGGTATATACAGAGTCAATGGAAGTTTATGGTTCTCGTCATGACAGGCCAAGAAATGGTTCTTGTTAGGCCCTGCTATTTGGCTGATAACTAGTTATTGTACTCGGATGTCTTGGATTGTTGTTCACAGTGCCAATCTCTTGATTCTTTCTGGTACAGGATCACTTTTTACAGGCCACCATCATACAGATCAAATACTGCTGAGTGCTTCCCGAAGAAACAACTGTTCTTTGATAGCTGTTCATACCATAAGACCCCATTGCCCTTCACTTTCCAAGTTCTCCTAATTAGGTCTTCTTGTTGCATCCACAGTGAGACACGAAGCAGCTGGGATCAAGAGATCCGAGACGATGTGATAGAAGAATGTAATAAACACGGAGGAGTATTGCATATTTATGTGGACAAGGCTTCACCACAGGGCAATGTTTACGTCAAGTGTCCAAGTATTGCTGCTGCTGTTGCATCAGTCAATTCCCTTCATGGAAGGTACTTTGCTGGTAGGTATTTCAAATATTTTGCATCCCCCTCATAAATTGCATTGCTCCTTAATTTTGAGACTAAGATTTAGAATAGATAAATGGACTTAAAAATTTGGAGCTAGAATCCTTCCCAGTTCATGTTAACGTTATTTTGATTATTGTATTTGCATGGTTTTTTTAGAGACTTTCACATCTGTGATAGTCAATGAACAATTAAATTAGCAATGAAGCAAAATTTATATACATATCGAGTTTGGAGCAGCAAGGTACCAAGTGCACATTTCATCATTCCGAGAAAATCACATTTTAAGTTTTCAATGCTCATATCTGTTGCACTGCATATCTTACTTAACCAATACATACATGTTCAATAGAGGTGGTGTGCATGTATCAAATGCTTTGATGTCATTCCTAATGAAGCCTTAATTTCTTAATTACATCAATTATTGTAGATGGTACCCTTTGAATGAAGAGAATTTGTTCAAACATTCGGACAGCAAGGTACCAAGTGGCACTTGGTACCTTGCTGCCCCAACATTTCACCAATGTTCACGTTAGTTACAGAGCTGCAAAGGACCAAGTGGCACATGGTACCTTGCTGCCCCAAACATATATACAGTCATTACAGGGTTGCAATGTACCAAGTGGCACTTGGGTCTTTGGTGCACGAACCATTTTACAGTAAATATAGGGTTGCAATGTACCAAGTGGCACATGGTTCTTTGCTGCACGAACATTTCACAGTAAAGATAGTGTTGCAATGTGCCAAGTGGATCTGGTACTTTGTTGTCCGTAGCATTTGTACCACAAAGTTTGATTTAAGGAGTACCTAATGACACAAGATTCATTGTTACTTAGGCATTTGACTCTATATCTATTTATATGGACATTTGACACTTAGCAAACTGCTGCTGGTGATGTTAATGAAATATGTTTGTCTAGAAAATAATATTGTATTGTCAACTGTAACTTGTTAACCTTATATCTGTTTGGTGGAAATGGGTGATTTGTTGTTTTATCTATTACATATCTCAGTTGTTATCATATATCAATTCATTGAGATGTAAAATAGTGGGCACAATATGACAAAACAGACCTTCAAGCTTTATAAAGATAAAACTTTTACCATATTAACACCATAAACAAATAAGAGATGATAGTTTTATTCCCAACTAAACTATTTTTGCAGAGATTAAAATGACATGCTTTCCATTCAGTTTGACTTGATACATATTATTTGAATTTCTTATAATACAGAATATCAAAGTGATATTATTACAGAAATCATAAAGTGACTATGTTACATAAATTTGTTAGGGATTTAATACATTATGTTCGGCAATCACTGAAATAATCAGTCTCTTGTGCTACATAATGGTCACTAATAGTCCTAATCGTCCCACTCCTCATCGCTGGCAGGTCCCGGAAGCCGATCAACAGATGTTGCTGATGTTGGTAGAGATTCATAGTAAGGGTGGAACTCTGTCGGGATCATTTCCTTTCCACACAGAGTTAACAAGTCCTGCTTCTTTGCAACAGAAACTGACAGCTTGGAATTGTAAGCAGGTGTTGGAGCTTTTTGCTGCGCTGCTGTTTGACATTTCCTCCTAGTCCCTGGGATAACCTTGATCTCCAGGAAGTCCTCCTCCTGAAAACCATAGTTGACAAAGATTGAGTTCACAGCTTCCCGTCGGACTTGAATCCACTTGATCTTCAGCCAGTTGATCCTCTCTCCTCCAACCGAGATCTTCATGTTTGGATAGGAACTTTTTACAAATTCCTTGAAATCAAGAACATCTCCGAATTTCAGTGGAATGGTAATATTATATATCTCTTACCTCCTCTAGCCAGAGAAATCGCCGTGCTCCATTGCACAGGTGCAATTACCTGGGTTCTTTTTCTTAGCCGTTTCAATAGCCGAATGGATCAAATCCCATTCCATTTGAGAATGACCTGATGTCAGAAATTTGTGATTTAATTTGTGTAAATTTTTTGAAGGCTATAGAGCAAGGAGCCTGCAACAAATTGGTTTCGATTTTGCCCGCCACACGAGTCGGAGATATATGTCACTTCCTTCACATGTTTCTTCGATTGACATACGGAAGAGGTGTTTTTGAATAGGCATGTGGCAATTTCGTTGGCCCCTCTTTTTCCATTTGTTTCATCCCACAGGTGACATGTTCCTTGTTGGTCCCCAAGAGAATAGAAGGAAAGGTTATAGACAGACAATTTTCTTGGATAATACAGCTCCCCAACAAGACTGCATGGAGTATTTAGAACAGCTTGCAAATAAAACGTTGCCACATAGTGAGCTTTATTTAATTTGGCATCGGCTTTGTCTCGTTCCTTTTCATTTCTGGCTTCTACCTTGTCCTTCTGATGTTCCTCATACTTACTGATGATTTCGTTGTCAATGGTACCAACAAATTTCTTTGCCTCGTACAGACTGCATTTTGAACATTGATCCTTTTTCGGTTTAAAGAATCAAATATTATATTCTGTACAGAAGATTTCCCTATACTTGCTCTCCTTGACATAGTTTGAACCTGATTCTTGACATATTTGCTTGTAAAGCATATACATTTTCTTTATATTTAAGTCCTGCGAGAGGTATTTCTTCACAGTGTCTTTCCGCGCATAGTGTGATTCCATTTGTGGAAAGGAGGTTATGCTGTTAATTGTTTCAAGGTCAATTTTGTTCCCAGATGCAGTGGCACCTCTGTCTTCGGCTGTAAACACACCATGTTATTTCATTTTCAATGCATGATCCACAACCTTCCTCCAAATATTGAGTGTTGCAAGAAAAAAGTCCCGGCACACACAGATTTTCTTCCCCTCAAAGACAAAATGATACTGTCGAGAAGTTGTTTTCTTCCCCTTGTATCTTACTGGTGACACAGAATCCACCATCTGACACACAAAGCTTCTTTGCCTTTCATAGGATGGTAGTTGGTAATAATTCTCACAGATTGCCTGCCTTGTTCGCAAATCTATGTTTTGGAGCATCCAAAAACGGCACCTATCACAATTGATATCTTGCCCGTGGTTTTCTTCTACAAGTTTCCCTCTACAGGATACATAGGTTTCCCCTCTGCAGCGCTTTGCCTTTCTGATATTTTTCTTCCATAATTCTGGAGCTTTGAGCTTCTTCCTACTTGAAGGCCTTTTCTTAGGGCTTCTGTAGTCTGCCCTTTTGTAAGGAGCTACAACTGGGAATGGAACTAATGTAGATGCTGAGACTGTACATGTGTCCCCTTGAGTTTCCATGGTCTTCTCTGGTGTTGCTTTCAAAGGAACAATGCCCTGATAATGTTCCTCACCGGGCACAGCAATATAGCCAAGATTGCGGCATCTATCTTTACTCGGTGCTATGTCTAGTTCCACATATTGACAGCTTAAAAAGTAAACTAGCGTCCAAACGAAATGCCACCAATGCTCTGCTAACTTTTAAACAACACAAACAAACACTACAGGACATTTAAGTGTTTTTGGATTGATCAACAATGACTGTTTGACACATGGGCAGGTTTACATAGGGAAAATGCTATTTTTGTACGATAAGAAGAGATAAATAACACAAATTTACCATTAATGAAGTAAATAATGTCTCTTGTCATACAATTTTATGGATATTTACACACACTAAGTAAAATGGCTCCATAATTAAGAAGATTTAAATGTTTGTTTTCTTTTTAAAACATCAGTTCCCGGTGAATAACACGTACTTTTACTTTGTCCATGTGTTCCTCAAATCGTTGTCCACGTATGAATAGGTCTACAACCATGCCAAGTTTAGGTTCCCTTCCCTAAGATGGGTGTATCAAGTGAACTAACTGTCAATTCTAGTATTTTATCATGAAATAGTACTTCACAGCAGTGCCATGTGTAGAAACCTCAACAGCAACATAGGACCCTTAGTGGCGCAAAGGCCCAAGTGCCACATGGCTACAAATAGCCAGGCTTGATGCGTAAAAGAGTGAGCGCAGCAAGGAGCCAAGTGGCACATGGGACCTTGCTGCCCCAAGCACATAGCACTTGGTACCTTGCTGCCCTAAACATTTCTAAGTTATGCACTTGGTACCTTTTAACATAATTAAATATCTCTGTAATTAATTAAGAAACGGCCTTGATTTTTTTACAGAATATCAATGACATCACAGTGATCAATAATCTATAAAAAGTGAAAATGTCCCAAAAGTGCACTTGGTACCTTGCTGCCCTAAACCCACGGTGTTCCACAGCAAGTGATTCGATGAGAATAGGACCATGGTTTCTTTGTGAAGCAGCCCAGCTGCATGTCATGTACACTGATCAGGGAATTTATGACTTCCTGGAAGTCAACAGGAATATGTAGATGTGATGATGGAATGTCTTCAGTTGGTGGTAGAATTGACCAAGGATGCAATTAGTTAAAGAAAATAGTTTTTGTTTGTTCTACCCCCAAATTGCTATGCTTTGACATCTAGCCAAAAGTTTCATTTTGAACTTTGTGTAACTTCCATTTACCTTATCATTTCATCACTTGTTCTGAAATTTGAATGGTTTCAAATGTCTCGTACCAAAGGAATTTTATCATACACAGCAATAAATTCAGCACAAATTCATTCATTAAGCACACTCTCAACAGTTGCAGGTGTAACTTTTTATTTTATCACTTGTAAGATGAACTGTTGTGCATTGGGGCATACATCTTTAGCACCTTCATGTGGGGTATACTTTAACAGATGTTAGCCTTGCAATTTCTTGTTGTACTTTTTCTGTGTTATCAATTAATGCATCCATTATTTTACATGTGGCTATTAAGTCTCTTGAGTGAGGTGTTAAATTAGAATGGTTCTTAAAGTTAAGGATGTGTTGAAAGTTTTTATTATCCAAGGATTATCAGGATTTTAAACCACTTCACGTTATTTCATTGGGAACATTTTTCATGACATGTACAGTGTATATATTGAATTTGTCCTGAGCATTCATCAGTGTAGTCCTTGTACACACAGTGTTCTGTATTTTATTGTAAATAAAAGTGATCCATATGTGTTACAATTGTGATGTTCATTTCTTGAGATAGCCA